TCTCTCTCTCTCTCTCTCTCTCTCTCTCTCTCTCTCTCTCTCTCTCTCAAATAAATAAAAAAAAAATTAAGAAAGAAATATGAGCTAGAAACATGGGCCTCACTTCAGGAGCACAAATCAATGCTGAGAGGGATTTTAGGCAGAATGAACGTCAGTGTGCAGTGAGAGTAAGCCTGGTGTGATTGTGTAATGACAACAAAGCTTTATGGAGGAGAGAGAGATTTGCACTGGGCTTTCAAGGTAGAACAGGAGTCCAAAGGAGAGGAAGTGGAGAAACTCACCAGTTGGAGGCAGTTAGTATGCCCAGGTGAGTGCCAGTAAGTGGGCATCAATTACCCAATTTAGGTAAGGGTAGGAGAGGCTGGATTATAAGGGAAATTTGAATGCTATACCTGGGAGATTGGAAATTATTCTAAGGAATCAGGGAGACATATATGATCTCTAAGCAGAGCAACAGAGAGAGAACACTGTGCTATATGAATAGTGGAAAGTGGTAGAGGGAGTGACAAGTGGACTAGTGGTGCCTGCAGAGAGGGAGAGGATCTGAGACTGTAGTAGGGGAGACATACTAGGGAAGAACGGACTTCAAGACAGACAGTATCTTCAAGTCTAGAAATAATGAAAGTAGGACAACATCATTCATGGGGCAGAGACAGGGGTTCTAGGATAGATTAAAAATGGCAAATTCACTCTTTGGTATTTTCTCAATGATAGAAGGGCCTATATCCCATGGCCAAGAATCTAAGCAATGGGCTGGGGAGATGGCTCAGTACAATAAGTGCTTCCCTGGCAAGTGCAAGGGCCTGAGTTCAATCCCCGGTTCTAAAAAAAAAAAAAAGAATCTAGGCAAAAGCTATGGTTTCTTTGAATAGATATAGCAGAAATAATTCTGGGGGCTGGAGAGATGGCTCAGTGGAATAAGCACTTCCCTGGCAAGCGCAAGGGCCTGAGTTCAATCTCTGGTTCTGCAAAAAAATTAAAAATAAAAAAAAAATAAAAACCTAAAGATCTGAGCAAAAAGAAAGTGGGGGAAAGCAGCAAGTGCCAGAGCCTCAGAAGGTCCCCTCCAAAGGTGCTGTGCCCTTGAGTTTGAAAGGCCTTGCCCTCAGGTATGACCGGTGCCTTGGCCGTACATCTTCCTATCAGCTATTGCCCAGAGCAAGCCCCATACATGGGAACCAGAAGGAATTTGGGTGCTCTGGGGATGGGGTCTATAAGTAAGGCATCATAGAGGTGGAGGAATGTTAATAAGCAGGCAACCCGGAAGTAAAGAAAGAGGTGATGAACCAGAGCAAGTAGAAGGTCCACAGAAGAGGAAAATTTTGAGCCACAAAGAAGATAGAATTGCCTTTAAATTTTTTACATAAAAATCCAGTTCTCTGTTTTCTCTTGAAAAATTTGAGCACGAGGTGCCTGGATCAGGGCCTCCTCACTCTCTTACTTCCTAGCAGTCCTCCTAATCTTTGATCATTATGTCTCTTGTTTCTTCTGTTTGCCACCTGTTTTCCCCCTCTGGACTGTAAGCTACAGGAAGTAGCTTGTCTTGGTCATTGCTATATACCTGGCTGGTGGCTCTGGGTCTCAATAAGCAGTTATTAAATTGATGAAAGAAATATGAGGGGCTGGAGAGATGGCTCAGTG